AATCCAGCCAATCTAATGTCTGAAGCCTCCTTTGACACTACTTTTCTTGAAATATTCAACCATCAGTATAAAACTATTCACTGTTCTCCTTGTACACTCCTACACTCTATTCCTTGTATACTCCTACATTCTATTCTTTTTCTCAGGCTGTTCCTTACCCAAACTGACTTTCTCTTACACTTCTAAGTTTGATTTCTACTGAATATTTCAGTCTAATCAATTACTATCAGCATTTGGTATAATCTCCCATGGACCTTATCATAGAAGCCATTATTTCACATACATACTACCAGTTTGTTCTCCATAATTGTATTTCCTTTCACTCTATTATGACTACTTCTTAATGTCACATGGAATTTTCTCTGCTAGAAGAGATCACAATCCTCTGGCTAGCTATTTGTTATTTTATGGATAATCAAATGATCACAAAGTCTATTTGGTCACTAAGTTTTATTGATTTTGCTCTTTCTCTGAAATCCTTGGTAATGAACATCTAGCTCACTATAAGTTTGTTAATTGATGCATCATTTATCTAGTATTTTGGAGTTCCTATTACTGTACAAACCATAGCAATACCATACCAGGCAATATATCAGGATGTAGCAATAAATAAAATAGATGTGACTTTTGTACTCATAAAGTTCAGAATCTAGTTTAAGTTCGTATCTTTTTTTTTTTTGACTATTGCTGTAAATATATTTTCATGTTTGTGTCCAGCCTCTCCATTATTTATATAAACCATCCCAAGATATCAAAGTTATCTTCCAGATTACTGGTGAATCAATCACATTAATCCACTCACAAAAAAGGTGCTCTGAAAATCTACCATGAAGCTACTGTCTAGCAAATACACTTCCCTTAGGACTGCACTCAAAGGACTCTCATAAACTGGCCCTTTCCATCTTACGTCAAATTACATTCATCTATATACTCTATGTTTCAAGTATAACAATTGTTTGCTATTCTATTAATATGCTTTCTTACATGGCTTTGGGATATTCAATGTGTCCTACGACTTCTTTTGAAAAATTCCTACTAACCCTTCAAGTTCAAAGCTGCTTCAAAGAATGTCACTGGCAACTGATCAACAAGACTAATTTCTCTGAAATGCTACTCTAACAATCTAAGAACAAAGTTCTTTTATTTTCAAGTCAAATAACAATGATATGAGATAAACAGGATTACCTGGTGGGCATGTTCTGTTGCCCACTCTTCATCTAAAAAGTCCAACTTAGTTTTAGGATGTTTGAGGTTCTCATATTGTTCCTCTTTGGGTGGTGTTCTAGTGGCAAGAATCACATAATCTTTCTGTGAAGAACACTTCAAAAACAAATTATAAATGTTTATTAGAGTGACATCTGATTGAGGAAAACAGGAATCTTGGCTCTATTACATCAAAACTTAGAATTTTTACTCTGGCACCTCAGGTAATGAACTTAATTTGCTTTATGATTATGGGGAAGATGGCATTTGTGTTTGTGTGGGGAAGATGGCTATGGTAGTTTTTGCTACCTGATAGGGAGTTTGTAAATAGAAGCAAAATTCTGCAGAATGCTTTTGTTTGTGACTCAAATTGTTTGCAAGCAGAAGCATGCATGAACCAAGGCACTGCAGGTTACTGAGGGAAGCTAATTTTTATTATCTAAAGATAAATTTGGGATCACTGAACAGCTCATTTTACTGTAGTGAAAATTTCCTAAAAATGAACATAAAGTGGTTAATGCAAATCAGTGTGGAATCTTCTTCATATGTACCTAAAACTCCATAATGATCATTAACATCACCTTGGGTAAAAAACACAGGAATGCTAATTATTTCTACAAAAATTTTCAACTAGTTCTATTTCCTATTCCAACGGATGTGCACAGGAAAAGAACAAAGGTCCAGATTAAAAATGTTCCTTTTTTCATAAAATATTTAACTTTGTAAAGAAAAGGTAACTGACACTGGAGAGCAGGAAGCAGGCAAGCTTAAAAGTAGGGGCTGGAGACAAAGCTCAATGGCACAAGTGCCTGCTTGGCAAGCACGAATTCCTGAGTTCAATTTCTGGTACGAAAGCAAAAGCAAAACAAAACAAAAACCTAGGGACAATACATAAGCTCTAGATTAAAAAGAAAGAAAATCTGTAGAAAATGAGAAAAAAAATTCATGTAGATCAGCTGGAAAGCCTCAAATTTTTAGAAACTTGTAAGACAGTGGTTTTGCTGAGCTATAGAAATTCTACAGCCTGTATCCAATAAAGTAAGTTTGGAAAAGAAACTCTTTTTCCCTGATATTTTATCTCTACTACACACATCTTTCCCTAAAGCTAGTTCCTTACATTTTTTTTAAATAATGGGGGGAAAGGACCCTTAAAAAATTCCTAGCAAAAAGATCACCACATTAGATGTTATACATCCTGAATCAAAAAGTAGTTCAGGGCTAGGATACAGCTACCATGTGTGCAACCCTAGTTCAATTCTGAGCACAACACCAGTAATTAAACTAGTTCAGATTTGGCTACATAATGAAAAGACTTACAGAGTGTACTACCTAGGCAAAAAGTATAGAAATGCCCTGTCTTGGAAGATATCTGGTTTATGAAAGTTTCAAAAATGAAGTTCTCAGGGTTATACCAACATTAGGTAAGTTTGTGCAGAATAACACAGAAAACCTAAATATCATGTAGGGTCTAGATACTTAAGTCTTCCAGGAAGTATCAGGGCATAATCTATGCTACGCAAGGATTCTATTACTGAGCTATGTGTTCAGGTCAGTGCATTCTTTGTAAGTAAAATGGGGTAACACATTATAAGACAAGTATCTTGGGAATAATAATAGAATCAAATCAAGAAAAGTTAACTATGTAATTTAAAAGTTCTAAGGCATCAGAATAAAATAAGAATTAAATTGTCCTAATAATAGCTTTATTTACTATCAAGAAAGCAACACGTTGCTTATGCTTTGTAAATAAAGTATTCAAATACTTTCTCTACTCTTATGTCAATTTTTTTTTTTTTTAATGTATTTAGTACAGGGTCTCACTACATAGATTGGGCTCGAAGTAATTCTCCTGTTTTCAGTCTCCCAAGAGCTGGGATTACCAGCCCAAGCCACCATGCCCAGTCTCAATCACAACTCAGTGCACCTGGGGGTGGGGCTGGCATGGCATGCTGGGGATTGAACCCCTGCCACTGCACTCTGCTGAAACAGGCACTATATCTGCTGAGCTATCTGGCTAGCCCATCTATGTTAATTTTTAAAATCAAGCTATGAAGGGAATAGAACTATCTAATTTCCAAATTTACCTTAGTCCTTTACCCTCCCTTTCTACTGAACCAACATTAAAATAAAATTAGGGGCCGGTGAGATAGCTCAGCAGTCTAAAGTGCCTGCTTTGGCAAGCTTAGGCAAGAACACAAGGACAGCAGTTTGATCCTGGCACCACATGCTACACCAGCCCTGCCCCCAGGGTGGGCTGAGCTGGCCACAGAAAAATAAAATCAGTATGATGCAATTATACTATGCAAGAAAAATATGGTCATATGATCACTGATGCTGTAAGTCTATGACAAGACAAAAGAAACTAGAATGTGAATAAATTATTAAAAGCTTCTTTCATAAAGAATAGGGTAACCCAGAATTAATAAAAATTAGGAAGACAAAGCACTTTGGAAAGAACAAAATGTACATAATCCAATCAATAATGTTCTAGTTTTGGAGTTTTTGCATAACTTTATAAATTAAAAATTACTTTCTCATTGTCAAATGGGAATACAATCTGATATGAACTAATCTGAGCTAGTTTTGCCTATTTCAACATTTTCCCTCAATGACGTACCTGAGATTTATTTCTATATCATGCCCTTGTATCTCCCAACCTTGAATTTATTGTTAAATGGCATATTTGGGGCCAGGGATACAGCTGAGGGGCATAGTGCCTGCCTAGTAAGCACAAAGTCCTGTCTTCAATTCCCAGTACAGGAAAAAAAAAAAAAATCACTCAAGGGTGAGGTCATTATACCTGCTTAGCTTGGTGAGGTTCTGGCCTGCTTTATAAATAGCATATTTAACTTAAATGAACAGTTACTTTGTTTTATCAATAATGCACATACCTGTCCTATTAGAAGACCAGAGACAAAAGGTTTTCCTTGGAGTTTGATGTTTGAAAGATACTGGCCAACAGAGTCATCTACAATGTACGTTCGGCCCATTGTTGGGAGCTAATTTAGTATCCTAAATTACAAGGAAAAAATATATATACAAACATCTTTAGCAATATAATTTTTCAAGGTTTTTAGTGTGACAGTGAGAAAAGAGGTAGTGTCCTAATACTGTCCCAGATCTTGCAGTGATTCCTTATTAAATGGGCTATTCTTTCTTCCAAAGCTCAAATATAGATCCAGAATTCTTAACATAGTACTGCAGTAAAAAAGTACCAATCAACCAGAGTTCACGCAAGAGATCAAATCTGTTTCTCATACTTGAAATGTGAAGATTCTAAATTATAGTCTAAACACTTTTTACTTTCGATCATCTTCTAGTAGTATTATCTCTGATAATTACTGGATATTTTGTTTCTAAAATAGTAGAGATGATTAATTTATCATAAGGAAGAAAAAATCAAATTGATTTACTTAATAAGCATACATTATAAACTATTCACAAGAAATTGTACCAGGTGGGATAGCATAAAGACCAGTAATTTTGATCTCTGCCTGAGCAACTCATAATCAGTTATACAAGTAGATAAAAAAGAATGCAGTAATAACTTTGTATATGGCTTCTATTTTGTATAGGCCATTATCCCAAGTATTTTACATGCAATAATATTTAATATTTACAAAATCCTCATGAGGTAGGTATTAATTAATCCTAATTTTTTATAGATTTAAGAAACTAAAACAAAAAAAAAAGACTAGTGAAATAATACACCCAGATGACAAAGTGGCAAACGTGGGCTTTAAATTCAGGCCGTTTGGCATATATTTACACTCAGGAATTATACACAATCCTTCAACTATCACAACAAAGGTTAATTCTGGTGTTTTCCAGTTTGTGGATGAAAACCAGTATAATACTCCTACTGACTTAATGCTCCCTTGAGTAGAATTTCTATATCTTAAAAACAAATATATTGAATAAAAGATCTAAACCACAATGGTAATATCAAGAGGCTCATATTCTGTGTGGAAAACAAAAACATAAAAGATGTTTTTAAAAAGCTATAAAATAGAAACAGAGAGCATGGGAACTGCAGCATTTTGAGTACTGCAATTTAGAGATGAGTCATTCAGGTTCTATAAAAAACTTGATTTATAACTCTACTACTGCAAAGTAGCTTCAAAAAACCTATTCAATTTTGTATCACAATAAATAAGCTTTCTTCCTAGCTCCTTTTGGACAGTAGTACAAGTGAATCAGGTTTGCACATTCTCTTACTTTTGAGACTAAATCTCCATCTTCCTGTGTAAATCCTTGATACCTTTTTAAAGAGCTTTTAATTATTAGTAATGCCTTTAGGCAGATACATAGTTCTGCATATTAACTTTCTTCTACTTTATCATGTTATTCTACTCCTTTTCTTTTGGCACTTAATTTTTGACTCTCAGAAAAAAAAAGCAAAAGACTAATATTTAACCTTCTAAATTCATTTCTTGTGCAATGCCATTATACTAACCACCTTACTGTATGAGGAACTAAATGTAATAGGAAAATGAAAATCTATTAAACTATGAAAGTTAGATATAATTTTTCTGTAATTCTTTAAAAATGTTTAAATGTTGACAAGCATATTTTATAAATGACACTACAAAAACATTTATCTTGCCTATACAGTTATGTTTCCTAAAGTATGAATTTAGATAACTTAACCTCCCTAGGATCTGGTTTCCATCTAAAAAAAAATAATCTGGATCCTGACAAATCTGAAAACCTATTTAAGTCCAGAATTCTGATAGTCTAAGTATAGAATACTTACATTTTCCAAATAGTAGTTCAAGAGTATGATCATCACTGTCGGCATATTATGTAGTACAGTAACACACACTAGCAACCATAGAGTGTCTGTAAAAATTTTGGGGAAAAACCTCACATTCCTTACTTATTTTATTTTACCTTGGTTATCACAAAATAACATGTATGAGATATTAAAAATTTTTAATGTCTTGACAACCGATTCAAACGAATAAACTAGGAAAAAAGAAACACATGTCATGTGAGAACTAAACCACCAAGTCATAGGGTGCATGACTGTGATAAATGTTGAGAGGATGACATTAAGAATCCCATATTTTCAATAAAGAATTCACTAAGTTCAAAAGACAGACCAAACATGAAACGAACTACAGACTAAGTTTAGATACTGCAGAAATTAGATCTGAAAACAAATAGTTTGGTTATAACGGCAAAGTGTCATTTTTTAGACAGTACTTAGGGCTCTTGTCACAACAGTTTTCAATTTGAAAAAAATCAAAATAAGACATTTTCCGCAAGTCACCATAAAATGTACCATACATTCAAACTCCGGATTTATTCCATCCTCTTTCTAAAAAATTCACCGGGCTTCCTCAATTCGTGAAAGCTCATTACCCACCTGCCAACCCCAAAGCTGCTAGCTTCGAGGTTTCACAGAAAAAGTTCGTCAGAACTAGACTTGACCGCACGGCGCTGAGTGTCCATCTGTTTCCGACACTATGCTCCTTCATTTCTCTCGAGGCGCCCTGGGTGCCGGACACACACACACACACACACACACACACTCCCCCCTCAGGCTGATTTACCTGTTCTACAGAAAGTGCACACGTGGCAAATAATTCTATTAAGCCGTCAGGGAAAATAGTACTATCAGCTTCTGGATATACACACTACCCTTTGGTCCCAATGCCACAGCCAACGACCTCATCAGAAAGCGACTCCTACCGTCTCACTTTCCACCGCAAAACCCGAGTCTTCAGAGTCTGGCGGCGCAGGCCGATGACGCACTGCCCCTCCTGCCTCACAGCAGAGAGAGACTCTGCTCCAGCGAAGGTTGGTTGCGACCCCGCCCCTTTCGGGTGCCCGCGAGAGCGAGGCGGTAGTGCCGAGCTTGCCAGTTCGGCCCTACCGGTACAGACGCCCTCTAGTGGCTCTGTGTCTAGAATCCGTCAAAGAGGACTCCCCTTCAGGGACTGATGTGAGTTGACGAATTTTTGGCGCCACTGCGCGGACAGTCGTAGTGCAGCCAAGCGAGGACAACTGGGAACAGAGAGAATAGAGAACAGACAGCTCGCAAGCGCGCGCTGCGGGTTTGGTGAACTGAAGGACATGAAAAGAAAAAGAGAAACGACAAAAACCACTACATTTCCCAGAGGCCTGTGCGTCCTGAAGCGGGTCGGACCGGAAGTTGGCCTCATTGCACGATCTAGGGACTCAGATTCCCAGGGTGCATTGCTTCCCAGAGTGCATTGCGTCCCGCGGCTGCCTGCCTATTTCCGGCCCTGGAGCTAGGGTGCGTCGGGCGCCACGGCTAACGCAGGACTCGATTTCCCAGCGGCACTCTCCCGCGACCTGGCGCGCGGAAGCAGGGGAGCGAGGCGGGGAAGGCAGCGGCCCAGGCTGCTGGGTTCTGGGCTTCGCCTTTTTTCTCCTCTTCTGTTCCGTCGGCCGCTGCCCGCGCAGCTCGTGTCCCGGCCGACATGGCGGCTGTGTTGCAGCAGGTCTTGGAGCGTACGGAGCTGAACAAGCTGCCCAAGTCGGTCCAGAATAAACTTGAAAAGTTCCTTGCTGATCAGCAGTCCGAGATCGATGGCCTGAAGGGGCGACACGAGAAATTTAAGGTGGAGAGCGGTAAGCGAGAACTCCCAACCTCCCTTCGTTCGACCCAGAGCTTTGCCTTATCTTCCGTCCTACAGCTGGGTCCCTACGACGTTTTTTGGGTTGCATCGCTTTCCGCATTCTGAGTGTCCTAGGCCTATTCCTATTTTATTCTCATAGTTGGATGAGGAGTTACCTTACCCTCTTTCCTCGTTTCAATTCACTTTTACTGTTTTATATTTTTCCTCAGTAATTAGGTCGATCTCATGTAGGGACTCGAACTTTGTACAACAGGTAGAAATTCTAAAAAATGTAAGTTATTTGCATCAAATCCTTGCAACCTCTACTCTCTTATTTCTACCTATCTGTTTCGTTGGACTTTAAGTGACCAGTATTTTCCATTCTGTATTTTAGTCACCTGAATTCCTTACTTGACCATTTCGTGCATTTTTTTTTTTTAATGCGTTTGTGGCCCTGCGATCCCATTACGAAATAGATTTCACAAAAATGACTTTAGATAAATGTACACTTAAGTGAACGTGTAGTAAATTAGTTTAACGTGTTGTATAATTCCTCTAAAAAATGGAGATTGGATAGAAAATATTAGTGTTTGCTTGTGTTGCTATAACTTCAAATGAGTAAGTTATAAACAGTAGTGTCCTGAACATCCTTTTAAAAAGATTAACAGGGCCAGTAAGGCAGCTCAGGGTACTAAACGCCTGCTTAGGCAAGCTCAGGGCCCTGGGCTCAGTCCGGCCCTGCGGGCTTGATGGTGCATGCCTGTAATCTTAGCACTGGGAAGGCTGAGACAGGAGGATCACTATGAATCCAAGCTATGTACCGAGACCCTGTACCACATTCATTAATAATAAAGTTGAAGGGCCAGTGAGATAGCTCAGTGGACTAAGCGCCACCGTAGGCAAGTGCGGGAGGAGGGGGGCCTGCTGCACCAGCCCTGCCCCCACCCCGCCCCTCCTCCCCCCTTCCACTCTCCCCCTTCGATTCCCCTTTTCCCCCCCTCTCCCTCCCCTCCACCTCCCCTTGCTCCTCCCCCCTCCTTCAACCGAGTCTGGGCATGGTGGCTAGAGCTTGTAATCCCAGCCCTGGGGAGGTTGAGACAGGAGGATCACTATGAGTCGGATCTGTGTAGTGAGACCCTGCATAAAATATAAAAAATAAAATAAAGTTGAATTTTCACTTTTTAAAATAAATTAGGAATGTAATGGTTCCCACTGGTAAAATACAGTTTTTTAGGCCAAAACAAACACTAAGTCTCTTGGGGAAACGTAAACATATATTTTTATATTTTTATTTTTATTTATTTATTTATTTATTTTTGTGGAACCGGGATTGAACTCAGGCCTTTGCGCTTGCCAGGGAAGCACTTATTCCACTGAGCCATCTCCCTGGCCCTAAACATATATTTTTAGAAAAGTGTAGTTTTATACTGTCAAGTACTATTTTGACATTTTAAAACAAACTTCTTAAAGTAGTTCTAATCTTTTTTTCCTTTTTAAACTGTATAATCCTTTTTAAAAATCTACATTAGCTGGGGATGGTGGCACATGCCTTGTAATCCCAGCACTCAGGTGGCTGAGGCAGGAGGATCAAAGTGACTTCAGGGCCAGCCTGAACTACATAGTGAGACCCTGTCTCAAAAAAAAAAAAAAAAAACCTAAAAAACAAAAGTCTGCCTTAACTAAGCTGTCTGCTTACCTATCACTGGGAAAACAAATAAAGTATGAAATGTTGCCCACTTGAAGAAAAATATTTAGAAAAATCTCTTTTAATTCTTGTTTTGCTTTGTTGAATAAATTAGTTGGAAATGTACAATTCTTTTCACTGCTCAATTTATATTTAGTTACATTTGAAGTGCAGTTCCTGTACTTCATATAAATTTTAAACTCAAGGTTATTGGAAGTTCGTAGTAGTTGGACAGTGTATGTGACATGTGATTGATCAATTGATTGATTTTGCCTTGTCTTCTGTAGAACAACAATACTTTGAGATAGAGAAAAGGTTAACGCACAGTCAGGAAAGACTTGTGAATGAAACCCGTGAGTGCCAAAGTTTGCGAGTTGAGCTTGAGAAACTCAGTGAGTATTTCCTATATCTTTGTAAGCTTTCTTGGAGTATTGTGATCTTCCTATACTTGTGTTCTTTGGGAACATTTACTTACTGTATATGAAAACAGATTAAGCGTTATTGTTTTTATTTATATTGATACTCTTTTAACTAAATGGTGAAGACTTTGTAAGAACACAGGGCTTAAGAATTAAGTCTAAAAAAAAAAGAATTAAGTCTAAGTTCCAGTTCTTACTTTGCTTTTAAAAGTGGTTTAGATAAATCATGTTTGGCTGCTCATTTTAAAATGATTACACCACATGTATATCTACTTAGAAAGTTTTATATATCAAATGAGATGTAACTTTTTGAAAGTTTTTTTAAAAAGTTAAAAGCAAAAAAACTAAAAGCATTAGGCAATTGAAGAACTAAAGTAATTGTTCTTATTTTGAGCAATTAAAACCTGTTGATCCCATTAAACTTCTTATTCTTAAATATCTATGAATCACAATGTATTTTCTCTTGAAGGCCTCATTCCATGGAAAATGGGGAGCTCATTTTCTTTGTTCGTTTCTTATATCATGGTACACAAAATATTAACAATTTTGACATTTCTCAGGAGTATGGTGTGTCTTCTGCTTTGCTTCTAATAGAAGAAACATATCAAGAAAAATCTTAATGGAATAATGCTATCAGTAATTGCTTTTAAGTATGCTGTGTTTTTAATTTGATGTGGTAGAGAAGGAACAGGGAAGCGAGGGAATTATTTTAAATTTCCGCTTCTCTTAATGAGTTTGTACCCATCGGCTATTTGTTTGGGTTAAACCTGTTTTCAGCTTTGCTTGGCACATTTTTAAAACACATGTACTTGCATGATAGATCATAAGTAGCTGAAGCTGGTTTATGATTTGTGCATGTTTTTGCCTTGACAAAGCATAATGAAAAGAGTTCAAGAAAATAGCTGTAAGATTTTTTTTGTTTGTTTTCAATGAAGTCTAGGATAGGAAAAGTTCTGGATAAAACTAAAGATCAAATGCCTTCCAGGTGTGCAATTATTTTTTAAATATAATTTTTAACCTATAAATCAGAAAGTAATGAATAACTTTAAAACAACAGAAAATTATACTAACCTAGCAGGGCTTTTTCATAATATTATCATCTAATAGAATATTGGAGTTCTAGAGCTGCTTGTTTAACAACTATGAATGATTTGGTTTTAAGACCCATGGGCACTGTTCAGACTAACAATCGTTTTTTGTTTTTTTTTTTTTTTTTGTACAGTTCTGTACATCTTGCTTATAGAGCCTCAATTTTTTGTATAGTACACCCTATTTATAAAATGTACTTTTTGCTGATTGTACATATAACCCTTTATGTTTTATTTCAACTGTTCTACAAGTTGGAATTTCCTTTGACGATTTCTTCTAACCATTGAAATGAACATATTGTTTACAGTTCCTCAATTAGTGACCAGTATCTTTAATGATGTAGTTGTGGAGACAGAAACAAGGAGTTTCTGCAATAAAATATATGCTCATTAAATTATCAATACATAGTATATATTTTTTGTGGAGAAAAATTTATAAAAGAGCATTCCTCCTTCATGATGTATTTGTTTAGTGTATCAATGTGTGTGTTTGGAATAAAAACTGTCGGGGATGATAGTTCGTTATAGTTCTTCATTATAATGGAAGTAGTTTATTATAGTACAGTAGAGATTGACGGAATAATTGAATCTCAAGCATAATTTTTTTCCATGTTTAAGAAGTTGTTTTTTGTGTTAGAGGTTCTCTTCAGAATAATAAACAAGAATGGGATTACAAATATCTATTATGATTTACTACTGTGAATTTCATATACTTGAAGATAATCTCTTTTATTCTGACTCATTTTTCTCATTTCTGAATAAGAAACTCATTGTTTTTAAGGATGTACGTTCAATACATAGAAGATGCCATTGAAAAATAAAAGTATTGCTACCTACATAGATTTTTTTTGCTACAAATATTGGTTAGAATTATTATTTAATTTGGGTCATAGAATACCATATTTAAAATTTTGGTCTAGAATACAGTAAATTTAGGGTTATTTATAAATTTAGAATGTAATTATAAGAGACTTTTCTGGGCTTCAGTTCCTTTTTTTTTTTTTCTTTTGCTCCGAATGCCTTCAGGGCAGATTTGGCTGGCTTGAGTTGTGGGGA